AAAAAAAGAAAAAAAAAAAAAAAGAAAAAAAAAAAAAAAGAAAAAAAAAAAAAAAGAAAAAAAAAAAAAAAGAAAAAAAAAAAAAAAAAAACTCTCCAAAAACCAAAATGGTCATTAAAACAGGTTATAGTTATTCTCCTTTGAATGTTTTTTTTTTTTCAAAATTCATTTGCCAACCCTATGATTTATGAGGAGTTAGGCTAAGTGCTGGAAATGAAATGAAAAGGTGAACAAGGATGCTTTTGCCCTGCAGGATTTTGCTGTTTAATGGGAAGACATGTGTAAACTGCTCATTACAATCCAAGCAAGCCAGCACCATAATGGAGCCGCACACACAGAGCCTGGACCTGAGTCCTGACAGGTGCTTGTCCTCTTCCTCCTGGTCTGATTTCCAAAGGGCATTTGCTTTCTATTTGAACCAAAAATGCCTCTGATATGTGCATGTGTGTGTGTGTTGTTTGTTCCTAATGTTGACATTAAAACTAAGAAGTTGGCGTTGGTGCCACATTGCCGTCGCCGGGTCCTGTGTTTCCAGTTGGCGACAGTTCCTTCATCTTCTCTCAGGACTCTAACCCTTTTGAAGACACCCGATCGGATATTTGGCAGGACAGCCCTAATTGGGGTTTGCCCTGCATTTTCTAATGTGTACCCTGGGGATAAGAATTTGAGGCGATGTACATCATGTCAGGGGTGAGGGATGTTAGTATGTCTTCCTGCTGCAGACGTTAACACTGATCGCTTGTTTAAGGTGCTTTCTGACTGGTTTCCCCACCGCAAGTTGTTTCTTTTCTTTTGTAATTAATAAAAATTTCGAGAGAATCTGATGTTTTGACTGAAGAAATTACCCAGAGCTTGTTTCTTTCTTCTTCTTTTTTTCTTTTTTTTTTTTTTTTGGAGAGGTTTTTGCTATATGGCATGTGTGCTCACCAGAAAGACAGAGAGAGACAGAGAGACAGAAGCGAGAAATCACCTCCCAGGGGGGATAGCCATGCCACAGTCCCTTCTCCTCCATTCTCCTCTTGGGAGAATGGGCACACACACACGCTCCCAGCGTGAGTTTAAGCCACCAGGTCCGGGACTCGAACCATGGTCAACATGAACACGGGAGTTCAGTGACATAGCCATTACGCCAACTGCTGTTTCCCAGAGCTTGTTTCTTTAAAACAGTTTTCCTGATAGCATGGAGTCAAAACAATAGTATTATGGGCCTAGAAATGAGATGATGCTGATACGAAAAGCATTCGAGTAAAAGGTCTCTATTTAGACCCTAAATCAATGTTCTATTAGTGTCTTCGTAGGTGAGTCTATAATGTGATGGTTAAGGCAACTGAATCCCATATGCCACCCAGGCAGTTCAAATCCTGGCCCCAGCAGCTTGAAAACATGCTGGATACCTGTTCGTATGTGGCCAACATCCAGAAAGGAGGCAAGATGAAGGGGAAAGGATTGGGCATGGCCATTCCCATGGGGGATGCCTTCTCACTTTCCCTCTCTTTGTCTTTCTCTGGAGAGTCCATGCTCCCTTTGGCTATTTTTTTTTTCTTTAAATAGTCTCCAAGCTCATGTTTTGCAGAGAGAAAAAGAATCTGAGAGACAAATGAAGGGCACTTATTGGTGACTCGGGTACACACAGTGTTTAACAAACGCAGTGGGAGCCTTTCAAGTCCCGTCACTACGCCTTTTGAATTTACTAGAAGTTTGGGAGTACCCAAACTTCCATCTGCAATATATGAGGTCTCCAAAATGTTCCCACAAAAAAAGTGCATTATAAAAACCTGAACAGATTCCAATTCTTGCAACAAAATAAACTCGCATATTAACATTTCATTTTTCTATGAATTTTTGAAGTACTTTTACACTTAGTTTGATGGGCTCTTCTAAGAGAGATGACCACCTCCATTTAAATCAGAAATGCCACATTCATCTCTTACCATTGAAGTAGTCAAAGGAAAAGAAT